AACAACAACAACAAAACTTACCTAGATACAAATCAATCAATGTAGAATAACTGGAATTTCAAATATTTTCAATCTTCTTGATTATTTAAAAGAAGGTAGTTAAACCATCAACAACAACAACAAAATAAACTTCAGAGTTTTTTAATTCTTTCACTTGGATTTTTCATCAAAAACAAACAAACAAGCAAAAAAACTCAGAAAATACTTGGCAACAAAAAATTCCAAATAATAACTATAATAAAGAAACTAATCACTTGACAATTTATCGAGTAATTGAAATCGATATATTGTAATTTACAAAAAAAAATCATTACTGACAAGTAAATATAAATAAGAGAACGGTTTTTTGGTGGATATTATAAGTAATTTGAATTGGTCGAGATCATAAATCAATTGAAGGTAGATCACCATAGAAAACTTGGAAGTACTGGATGGTCGTTTCATCCTATTGTGGGACTCCTCCTTAGCAATGTGCATCTACAATCCCGCCTCGCGAAATTCGAACCCAGGACGTATTGATCTCGTGCGCGAGCGTCTAACCATTAGATCACTTAGCCGGTATTCAATGGTGTTATAAATAACATGCGAATAGTGGGTACGAGTAAAATTTTGTCGTTTGAAAAAATCATGAACCGACCAATGTTAGATTATCATCGTCGAAAGATTGAAGTTAAAGATTAATACAATTGGATGCCAAGTCAGTGGTCAGGCGTTTGCGCGTGACATCGAAGGTTCTAGGTTAGATTCCTGTATGCGAGGTCGTAGATGTACACTGCTAAGGAGTTTCATATTAGGAAGAGATGCCTATCCAGTGATTCCAGGTTTTCAGTGATGGTCTGAAATTGTTCGGTTCATGATTTTAATAATAAATAACTGCTAAAGTGGTAAACGGAGGTCAGTGTTCAAACATAATGTGTATAAGGCAGTTATCCATTAATTGGATTAGATGGTTACATAATATTAAAAAGACGAATGGAAACTGAATATGTAAACTATCGGATTTCGTTTTAGTGGTCTAGAGGTTAAGCAGTTGGTGTGAGACCTTTATGTCTTGGGTTTAATCCATGATGGGATAATTGATGTACACTATTGGTGGGTCCCGTAACAGGACGAAAGAGCTGTTCAGTGCTTCATAATTTTCTATGATTATCTAACTAAGATCAACTCATAGTGTGAGATATTAAACTGACTGTGGACATTGACATTTATCATTTGATAAATAACATTAATTCTAATTGGATCTTATTGATGTACATCAAATAATGATCACCATTGTGATCCATCTATTTGATGTTAAACATTTAAAATAGGAATACTTAAACAAAAATTTTATGTTGTTTAAGATTTGCGGGCAAGACGTACTTTTAATATTCAGAGAACTGATGTCCCATAAAGAATCGGAAACTTCTTCACTTCGCACCGCATTCAGTAATGTTATTCACTGCTCGGTTGACCTGCTGTAGGAGTGAGATTATTGTACTAATAAACATACCACTCATCATTTTTAATCGAGAAATACAAACCTTAATTTATTTTCAAGATTGTATGGAAACCCGTCACTGCAAAAATGGTTGTGCTGTTAAGAGAGTATTCAGCTACTTTAGAATGGCTTGATGAAAAGATAGTTTTTAGACATTTTCATTATACGTCATGAAACAAAATATATACGATATTAAAATTATTGAACTGTCTTACATAATACTTGAAACCAATGATTGTCATTTACATTGGGGTGACGGTCACAATGACCATAGGTGGGAGATGGTGATGGACAACTTGACTGGCTGCAAACTCAAGGTCCGAGGACGAATTCGTCCTCGGGTGTAGTGCGAATAAGTTGTTTCCCACAGAACCAGGATCTTCAGAGATACGAAGCTAGGAAGAATGGGTCTTAAAAACAGTTGACCCTACCTTCCTCCCACAGATTCCTGTTGGAGATCGTAGTCTGAAATGTAAGGAGTCAACGTACCAAAAACTCAAAAATATCGTGTGTGACAGGCCATAAGTAGTTGCCCCTTAACCTCTATGGTTGACCCTTCAGGTCACCAAGACCATCCTTAACCCAGTTTGTTTTCCAAATTCTTCAAGATGCATCCTTTTACGGTGAGAAACTGGGAAATAAAAGGTCTCCTTATACATCTAAATCCATTCAAACTAATCTTGTTCATGATCGAATGTCTTCTTAGCACAGTCTGGAACCGGTTTTTATTAACAGAAGCTAGGGTTTTGATCCAACAGAAAGAAATCAAGCAAGTGCTTTTCTGACTATCAAGAAGTTAGATGATGAAAGTCACAGATGTTATCAATCTGGTGGCGAATAACTAAAAGTGCTACTTAAAGAATATTTTGCCAGATAACTTGTCTCAGTTCGAAAAAAGTAACGAAAATTACTAGGTCGTTAAAATCATTGATTTCCGTGTTACCTGGTGTCTATGCACTCAACCAACACCAAAGGAGCTATCGATTGGAGTATTCCAGAAGATAACAAGACAAACTATGAATCATCATTGTGAAGCTATGTGTGACTTACAACCAATTAATTCCATGTTTAAAACCCAAAGTTGCAACAGTAGAATAGTATCACAGTATAGCGTAAATTAAATGTAAAAGACCTCACAGATTATGTCACTTCTTATTGTTCTCTCTAATATTCAATGGTTAACTGAACGAATGGTAGGAATAAATCTCGTTGGTAAGTGAGTGGCCAGTTAAATTTGCATTTTTCAGGCGCTTGCATTGCAAATGACTACTTAATGTTCATTCATGTCTAATAACTTGTATATAGGCACGTCATTTTACTAGGAGAAAAATGTATTCCAGTCCCTGATCATGTTGTTTTATTAACACCACTTGACCCAATAACTCGATTTCATGAGCTATTACAGTTGTAAAATATTTATCAAATACATGAAAATATATCTACTAAGTTTTGAGCTACACTAATCTAATCAGATTAGCTACTTGTATAGAAGGTTTGTAGACTGAGACTTGAACCGACGACTATTTTAGTTGGAATCTGAATAGTTTTAACGATTAATTCACTACTTTCAGGATTTATCAGCTGACCATATAGTTTCATTAGGTATCATCTAACGATCTTCATCCTCCTTATCATTTCAATGATTGAAGATGTGTTCAGCAACATCGCTATCACAGAATGACGTCTTGAAAAATGCACCTCCTACTTATGCCATAGCAATATTGTGCATTGCAGTGTAAAACAGAAATACGTAAGCAATTTTTATATCACTAATAATGATAATAATAATGTATAACATAATACAGCAATTAAAGGTCATTTTTATTAGCACTAAAGCATTGTGTTTTAAAGATAAACATACATAAATATATAATACGATGAATTAAGTGTTTAAACACAAAAACTGTAATTGTTTCCAATAATTGAACCTTCTATTTAGTATGTACAAGGCACAAACTGCTGCATATATATATATATATATATATATATATATATATATATATATATATATAGCTTTGCGCGTGTGTGTGTGCACGTTCATTCACATAATAAGCACAAAATACACAACAGTACTGTAACAAAATGCATAAATATACAAAATACAAATATGAATATACTGCGCGCGTGCATGTGTGTGTGACTTGGATGAAATCATACAATTCACCAATAACAATCAATGATCATTAATATCCCATTCTGTAACAGTAACAAAAGACATCTTTATGAAACAGAGAAAGATGACTTCTAACGAATTCTATTCACTTCATATTGAGCGTTACATATATGTATGTATAGATCATTTGTCAAACATAAGAGGGCTGGGTTCGGTTTTCTTCCACATTTTTACAATATTATCATGATTATAACTATCAATAAGATAATTAAATCAACAAAAAAAAAAGAAAAAAACTTGTAAAATTTGTAGAAAAAAAGGAAACCTTCATTAATATGTACTATAGCAACTTGTGTTGAGATGTGTGTGTGTGTATATGTGCAGTATTGTTTTGTCAAATGATTACTTCATATATATATATATATATATATATATATATATATATATATGATAAAAACAGTAATGGTAATCATAATCATAACCATCATAGTTCATTAGACAAAATTACACAAAGAAGAAAAAAAGACAGAATACAACAACAGTACAAGTGAAATTTCATAGCTAGCCTTTCAACAACAACAACGGGAACCCGTTTATTGTAATTGTTATTGGTGAAGGTCAATGTTTAGTCTTTATTCGTAAAATTTAATCAACCTGAGTTGAATAGATCATTTGGATTGATCCAATCTTTATATATATATATATATATTCTCTTTTCTTATATCATATGGATTATCATTTTATTTTGTTAATTTATTAACCAAGTCTAATTCAGATTGTATTAAAGAAAGACAAGTAGATTAATGTGTATTAATAATAACAATATTCACTACAATAACATATATATTGCCAGGAAAACAAAAACAAATCTTGGATCAACACAATTATGAATGGAATGCAGTAGTTAAGGCAACTTGTTTTTTTGTTGTTGTTGCAGTATTGTTATCGTTCATTAACAAATCCAATAGTTACTAAGCGGTAGTGATGATTTTTTTCTCCTTTTAGATGTTAAATATATTAACAGATGACAATACAGGTTCCCTGAACTGTTACACAGATGTGTTAGTCACTGGTTTCCATGTCACTAAACTGGAAATTCATATTGTATAAATAAATTGAATTATCTGGAAAGGAAGCTTCCAAAGTTTTCATTAGAGGATAAACCGTTAAGGAAAAAGGTTAACAACACTATGGAAGGAATAAAGAAAATTGTAAGGAGATAGTTAAAGAGTAAATACAAAAGGAATTAACACTTAGAAAACAAAGAATGTAGAATAAATATGATGTAACCATATAGATTTAGGTTAGATAAGCGATTTACAGCGAACATTTTTTATGCAGCCAATTGTATTATTATTCGTTCATACACAAACATTGAAATAATTGTCGTACAGAACACAATTCATATTAAACGCGATAACCATTCTGACGAGCACGTAAATACTCTGATGCATGCACACTATATTTTTCGCTACGATATCTAGTAAGCCGAATTGATTGTCGAAATGCCTCACTTATATTACCACGGTAACCACCTTTTCGAAGAAGAGAATCGATGGTTTCACAATGATTCCAACCTTTATAAAAACAAAAAAAAACAGGCAAGACTGATAGATTAATGATGAATAAGTGGATACATTGTAGAAAAAATTGGAGGGGGGATACATGGCACGAGTTTCGATTATTGTACTTCGCGACGAAAAACTATTTTGTTATGTAAAAACTCATGAAAAACATGACGTAATGTTTGTTCTTCATTCATAACATTGTAATGTTTATTCATAGCCCAACAACGCTGAGACTTCCACGACGCGGCAACAATTAATATGTGAACTTCAGTAAATGTTTAAAATGAATGTACGGTTTCTGCCCCCAAATGCCCTAGTACGGCCGAGAGTGGGGAAAGTCAGTTCTCCCTTTCCGAATGCTCTCAAGTGGCCACGTGCATACAACCAATGCCACGGAAGTCCTACTCACTACCTTCTCGTGACAGGGGTGTTGTTTACGAAATTGAGAGGACGAAAAGCGAATGTCCGACACTTTGACCGAGTTGGTGGATACGTAGGATCCATCTAGGGAAGTTGGAAAACACTGATTCCAAACCAATGGTGCACATGGGCTTCAGGATCGTACGGAAACGAATGGCGTATGAACCAATTATTGGTCACCGGCTACCATGAGACTGCGTTGCTCCACCGTCTTGCGGATCAGACCTTTAGTTCAAAGTTTCGGAGTGTAACCCCCTAAGAAAACCACTTGCTTCGGTTTGGGCACCCGGGAAGTATCCCAGCCCTCACATAAGTCGAACGATTTATATTTAGCATATCTGTTGGGTGCCTCCTTGTACCAATGTTTATGTGTTTAAATAAATAAATAAATAAATAAACTCTGAACAATTAAAAACAGAAAACCTAGAGAATAAAAGATATTTGTCGAGAACCAGGAAGAGCACAGTTATTGTGTCTGGACTCCTTCAATTTCATAACTTAATTGTTATCGCATGAAATTTTAGAGGCTGTAGACAACTGTTGAACATATATGAAGTCTGGATCATAGATATCATGTGAAGCTGTATGGAATTACAATAGAAATCACGAATCATCTGAAAATAGAACATGGAATTCATGAAAAAAATCAATGTATTTCTGATACAACCAACGATGATTTATATCATACATCTTTCCTAGAAATAAAAAAACTGCACAAAGAGATTGACATGTGTAAGATGGTATGTATGTACATCAGTTCCGGTTGCCATACCACATTAGCACAGAGATGCAGTTGTCGATTCAAATCCCATAGTATTAGAGGTAGTAAAAGTATAGGCAGTAATCTGAAAGATTAGGGTTTGGAGATGTTATTCAAAGAGTATAATACAGTGAAATAAATTTGGAAAGAGAAAAAAGAGACAAGGAGGAATCAGGAGATCAAAATTTGGAAGAACACAAAGAGTGAATGTACCTGCGCCATTGCAAACGATTTTGACCCATGTCATTCAGGGTCTCTAATCATCGGTTGCTATAATCTCGCGGTCCCCAACCAAGTAGTCTACACATACCAACATTGCTCAATCTACTTGTCAGTGACTGCATGGACTTGTGCCATGTTTTCATCTGGCCGCCCCTAGCTTTCTTCCAACCTACTCCTATACCATTGAACATCTCACGTCGAGGCAGTCGGTTGTTGGGCATACGTAACGTGTCCCAGACATCTCAACTGATGAAGTTTTACTACTTCATCAATTGATTTACCATCCTTACCTAGTACCCGTTTCCTAACAACTGCATTACTTACTCGATGGTCCCAGTATATACAAGCAATATTTCGAAGACACCTATGATCAAATACTAGTAACCTACGAATATTCTCTACTCTTACCGGCCATGTCTCACTACCATAAAGTAGGACGGAACGAACTGCTGCACAGTAAACACGTCCTTTGGTTGATAGGCGGATATCTCACCTACGCCATAAATGACGTAAGTTGGCAAAAGCTAGTTGAGCCTTCTGTATCTGTGCTGAGACTTCGTCACACACCAGACCACAAGGGCTGATGAGACTTCCAAGATAAGTGAAGCGGTCGACACGCTCAACTTCTTCACTCCCTATCATTAGTACGAGTGTCAATGCAACTCAATCCTGAAGCAACATTTTGCATTTCGAGAGGGAGAATCGCATCCCAAACATGCTTGCATTGTTGCTTAGAGTGATCAGAAGACTGCATTTTGTCAGCATCTTCACCAAATAGAACTGTCATCGGCATATTCAAAGTTAACAAGTGAATCTCCTGGTAGAAGTTCAACCCCTGGAAAGTCAGACGAGGAAAGTGTCATCTCTAAAAGCACGTGAACGACAAAGTTGAACAAGAATGGAGAGAGTGGACAGCCCTGACAAACACCACTTGAGGTAATCAATTCTGATGACAGTTCGCCATAAGCTCTAACTCGACCAGTTCAGTTGTGTTCGAGTATAGAGCCCGTATAAGGTTAATGTACTTCCTTGGTACTCCTTTCAGTGACAAACACTGCCATAGAACCTTACAATCAACAGAGTCGAATGCCGCCTTAAGGTTGAGAAATACTACCATTGTGGGGCGTCTAAACATGTGTCTGTGTTCTAGAACCTGACGTAGTGTGAATATTTGGTCTATACAACCACGTTCAGGTCGAAAACCAGCCTGATTTTCTCTAGTCTGCTCTTCACGAGCTTTGATTAGGCGTCGAAGTATTATTGAAGCTAATATTTTAGACACTATATTAGTCAAACTGATTCCTCTGTGATTGTCACAAGAGAACTTTTGTCCTTTCTTACAAACTGGCACAATCAGTGATTGAGACCAGTTAGATGGGATTACGTTCAGTTCCCAAATTCTACATAAGACCTCAATTAATCTCACTGCAAATACTGGACCACCATCCTTAAAAATCTCAAGAGTAAACCTGTCAGGGCCTGCTGCTCTCTCTCGCTTCAGATTTCCTATGGTTTTTTCAACTTCATAAAGAGTCGGAGGACCTACATTAACTTGCCATTCAGGTTGACTGGAGATCGTGGCAAACAGAAGTGTGGCTGAAGGCCACTTGAACTGATCCCTTTAGTGTTCTGCCCATCGATCCAATCTCCTGGATTGAGAATGTATAATATGTCCATCTTTCTCTGAGAGTGTTTCGCTAACAGTCGGTTTCCTAATACCGGTTTTCTTAACAAGTCTGAACAGTTGTCTGCTATTACCTATTGCCACTGCCTTTACTATCTCTCTTGCTTTCGCTACCCACCACTGTTCACGATCATTGCATAGGCTTCTTGTCAGCTTGTGCTTAAGCTGACTCCGCTCTTCATTATGTTCAGAGCCAGGTGGAATGAGTTTCCGAGCATCTATCAGTGCGACAGATGCTGCTGAGATACAGTGTTGCTCCCTAACCTTCTGGTTTACCTTACTAGCAGATATTACTGCTGTTTCCACATCTTTTCAGATATCATTACATGCTGCCTTGGGGTGGGCATAACATACATGGCTGCCTAACTGTTTTCCTAGTTGTTCCTGAAATAGATTCTTAGCTTGACTACCATTAAGTAGGAGCCTAAGAAGTTTCCTTGCAGCGTCTTTCCTACGTCCAGTAAGACGCGGGCAAATATGTGCTCGTACTAGAGCATGATCTGAATCTAAGTATGTGCTCCAGAATGAACGACAGTCTTCTATCGAGCCTCTCAATCGGTGGCTGATAGTGATATGACCTATTTAGGTTCAATGTTGGGACGAATTAGGCGGTCGCCATGTTAAAAGATGTTTCTTCTTATGCTTAAGTCAGTCAGTCAGCCACAACGTAGGACCAGGCACATATATGCATCGGTCCAAGTTGCCATACCTCATTAACACAAGATGGACACCGGATTCATATAAGTGGTTAATTCAGAGGTGGTAATATATAAAAGAAAGATTGCAATAAGGATATAGTATAGGAAGAAAGAATTAGTTCGTAGAAAGAAAGATATGAAGTGATTTTAATCTCTTAGTTTAAGAGAAGACAGAGAGTGTATACACCGACGCCATTGTGATCGATTCTGAGCCATGTCACCAAGAGTCTCCAACCATTGGTTACGATAGTCACGCGGACCCCAACCAAGTAGTCTGCATCTACCAACATGGCTCAGACTAGAAGTTAGTGACTTCAAGCACTGATGCCACGTTTTGGTTTGGCCGCCCCTAACTTTCTTCCAACCATCTCCAACACCGGTTAGCATTGCACGTCGTGGTAATCGGTGTTCAGGCATACGTAACACGTGGCCCAACCATCTCAGTCGATGAAGATTCATAACCTCATCAACTGATTTACCATCATTCCCTAATACCCTGCGTCTAACCTCACTATTACTTACCCGGTGATCCCAGCAGATGCCAGCAATATTTCTAAGGCATCTGTGGTCAAATACTAGTAGCTTACGGGTGTCTTCTACTCTTAAGGCCATGTTTCGCTGCCGTAAATTAAAACAGAACGGACTGCCGCGCAGTATACTCGTCCTTTTATTGATAGACGGATATCTCGCCTTCGCCAAAGGTGACGTAAGTTGGCAAAAGCCAAACGAGCTTTTCGAATCCGTGCTGAGATTTCGTCAGACACCAACCCATTAGGGCTGATCAGACTTCCAAGATAAGTGAAGTTGTCAACGCGTTCGACTACTTCACTCCCTATCCTTAGTTCAGGTGTTGACGCAGACCAGTCCTGAAGCAACAACTTGCATTTAGAGGGAGAGAAGCGCATCCCAAACATTCTGGCATTGTTGCTTAGTGCTACCAGAAGACTCTGCATTTTGTCAGCGTCTTCACCAAACAGGACTATGTCATCTGCGTATTCTAAGTCGATAAGTGGACCTCCTGGAAGGAGATCAATACCCGAGAATTCAGTCGACGAGAGTGTTATTTCCATCAATAGGTCTATGATGAAGTTAAACAAAAATGGAGAAAGTGGGCAGCCTTGACGGACACCACTTGAGGTTGCAAAAGTAGATGACAGTTCGCCATAAGCCCTGACTCGACTAGTAGTGTTCGAGTAAAGAGCCTTCACAAGGTTTATGTACTTCT